CTTATGTCACAGATAATACTCCCTACAACTGTACAACAACTCACCCTTATGTGACAGATAATACTCCCTACAACTGTACAACAACTCGCTCTTATGTGACAGATAATACTCCCTACAACTGTACAACTGCTCACACTTATGTAACAGATAATACTCCCTACAACTGTACAACAACTCACACTTATGTAACAGATAATACTCCCTACAACTGTACAACAACTCACTCTTATGTGACAGATAATACTCCCTACAACTGTACAACTCGCTCTTATGTAACAGATAAAAAATAACTTTTTACTGCAAGTTTTTTGAGAATCTACCTTGATAAAGTGAATATTTAATATTTAGTTTGTGGTTTTAAGGATCTTAGAGTGAATAAATTCTGTTGGTTTATTGTAACATGTTCAACCTGCAGATTTTACAGATTCACTGTTCTGAGCATCAGTCCACGGCCTCGATCTCTGCTTCGTCCGTGTTTACATCTGTGGCCCTTGATGAAACGTTTGGACCCTCCTGTCCTACAGCGTCTGTAACTGTTGATCTGGGAAGAAATATGAATTATTTCTTTTTCTGTCATGAACATAATTTGCAAACAGCACAACAAGAAACTTAGAAAAAAACTACAGGATTTGTTTCTGAGCCATAACATGAAGCAGAAGAATTTACACAGTTAGATTTTTCATGTTTTGTTTGTATGAATGAACAAATGTGTTGAAATAAACTGTAAGTTGCATGAGTATTTTTTTTTAATGTAAAGTTTATAGATTACCTAACGGTTCATTAAGGTTATATATAATCCAGAGGGACTTTCCAGCTCATTTCTGTTATTGACTAAACAAAAAAGTGACTCTGCCAAACAAAAAAAGTTATTAAAAAAAAAACTCCTCTAAAATAAAAGCCGTGCAGCTTTATTCCACGTATGAGGTAAAATTATAAAATATGTTTATTTTTTTATTCAAAATGATCTTAAACGAGCCGATCAAAGTCAAACTAAATGCCCATGAGTTTTTCGATACAGTGCACTTTGATTCAATATGATATATTTTAAATTAATTCGATACGGTTAAAAAGGATAAATTATGTCTGTGAAACTAAAAGTCTGTCAAAGTAAGTCTCTGTAATTAACTGAATTTTGATCGTGATTTCGATTTGTGCGTCAAACGATCTCCAAACTCATAATAGAGTTGAAACGATAAAGCTTAACTAAGTTTATTTTGGGATATTTTTATATAAATATGTTTATTTATTTGATTTCTAAATATAGAGATTGTAGAAGAGCTGGATATAGAGTGTATTTTGAAGACATTTATGGTTTTCTGTCTTTATTTCATTTTCAAAGTTTATTTTGTTGCTCTAAGATTCAGATTTGTAGCCGATATTTATTTTCAGTTTGAAAGTTTTGCGTAAATTATCAATAATAAAGCATTTTTTTGAGAGAGAAATGCTGAGTAAATGCATCATGTAACTAAAAAAATAATTGTATGAATAATCATGATTTCAATATTGACCAAACTAATCGTGATCATGATTTTTTTTTTTCCATAATGAAGCAGCTCTAGTTCAAAATGAATAAAAAAGACACACACAATTATGAAAATGTCAAATGTAAAACAAATAAACAAGTTTCTTTCTCCAAACAAGCAACAAAACTGCAGCTCTGTAACAAAATAATTCAGTAAAATATATTAAAAACCTTCTCCAGGCAACATATCGATACAGCAGTCCATGATATCGATACTGAATCATGAAATTAAACGATACGATATATCGATTTCAATATTTTGCACACTCTATTCACAGCTTCATTCATATCATCAAAAATCCCAGAATAAAACACTGATCGATCCGAAAAACAACCAGGAAGTACAGTTTTTAGTATATTTAGAAACAGGAAGTGAGCGCGGGGCGCACTTCCTGCTCCATCCACTCTGCCTCCACTTCACTTTCTATTGAACAAACGTCACCTCCCGCTCTGATCCTGGTGTTTTTATTTTTCACTATTTTGTCCGTAAATAAATTCCTATTCATAACTTTACTATAACTGCAGCCTCGATGAGCTTCATTTGACTGGAACGTAAAAACTGAGTCATAATTTTTATTTAATTAATTGATTATAAAAAGTAAAAAGCAAGTTGTTTATTCGATGAATCCCTAAATATAAAAGACACACTGTGTAACTTTTCTGGTTACTTCCATGGGATTTTATGGCTTTACCTGTAATATACTATAATACTCCCTACAACTGAACAAAAACTCGCCCTTATGTAACAGATAATACTCCCTACAACTGTAAAACTCATCCTTATGTAAGAGATAATACTCCCTACAACTGTACAACAACTCATCTTATATAACATATAATACTCCCTACAATTGTACAAAAACTCACTCCTATGTCACAGATAATACTCCCTACAACTGTACAACTCACCCTTATGTCACAGATAATACTCCCTACAACTGTACAACTCACCCTTATGTCACAGATAATACTCCCTACAACTGTACAACTCACCCTTATGTCACAGATAATACTCCCTACAACTGTACAACAACTCACCCTTATGTAACTTGCCTCTCCACAGATCTGACTCGTAACCCGGCCTGTTGATGTCATCTACTTGTGTAAATGAAAATAGAAAGATTTAGTTTGTTTAGTGGAACGTTCAAGGCAAAACAGTAAAATCTCCATGGAGACAAAAACTAAAACAAAACAAAAAAAGTTACACAGTGCGTCTTTAAAAAGGCCCATATCACTGCTTTTACAGATCTGATGTTTCCTCGTCACAAACAAACCTGGAGTTGAGTTTTGTTTCATTCACACACGTTTAACACACAAACAGAAAACACACTGTTCCACCTTGTGATGTGATACAGGAAGAAGTGCTCCACTGTGTTTTTAAACTCCACACACCTTCACTACAATCATCTGGATCATTTCAGCGCTGGAATTGACGATTTCTACTGAACAAAAACAAAACAAAACCACATCCTGATGACATCACAAGGTGGAACAGAGCATTTTGAGCGTGTGGAGATGCAGATAATAATAATTAATAATAAAAGTGTTACTCAAACACATAAGAATGAAACAAAACACAACTCCAGGTTTGTTTTTGAGGCGGTAACAACATCAGAACACGACTTAAAGCTCAGTTTTGCATCATATATATAAGATATTTAATAAAAAATGTTTACATCTTTTTCATATTTATAAATAAAATAGAATCTTGTGTTTCTGATTCTTTCTCCAGTTTGTGTTTGGACGAGTCAGAAGAAGCAAAAAGTGCAGCCAAACTTTTTGAATAACGATCGTCTCGACACCTTAAATATAAACCTACAGCACAGGTCAGTTTCACTGCACATTTTCACTCACAATCTCAAAAACAAAAAGACGATCAAAAGGCAAATTCTACTCTTCATCACCCACCAACCATCCTCCTCCTCTTCACCATCGTCCGTGAAACGCTCCACTGCGTTTTTAAACTCCACACACCTTCACTACGATCATCTGGATCATTTCAGCGCTGGAATTGACGATTTCTTTGCCCTACTCAACAAAAACACAACAAAACCACATCCTCATGACATCACAAGGTGGAACTGAGCATTTTGAGCATTTTGAGATGCAAACAGACTCATAATAAAGAATTAGTCAACAAATAAACACACAAAACACAACTCCAGGTTTGTTTTTGAGGCGATAACAACATCAGAACACAACTTAAAGCTCAGTTTTGTATCATATATCTAAGACTTTTAAGAAAATGTGAACATCTTTTTCATATTTATAAATAGAATTCTTTCTAGATTCTTCCTCCAGTTTATGTTTGGACGAGTCAGAAGAAGCAAAAAGTGCAGCCAAACTTTCTGAATAACGATCGTCTCGACACCTTAAATATAAACCTACAGCGCAGGTCAGTTTCACTGCACATTTTCACTCACAATCTCAAAAAAAAAAAGATGATCAAGAGGCAAACGAAGCCGCAGCTCTGGTCTGTGAGCTGCTCTTCATCACCAACTCTTCGTCTCTCAAACAGAAAACACACTCTGTTCCACTTTATGATGTCACGCAGTGATACAGGAAGCGCTCCACTGCGTTTTTAAACTCCACACACCTTCACGAGAATCATTCCAGCGCTGGAATTGACGATTTCTACTGAACTAAAACAAAACTTCATGACATCACAAGGTGGAACGTACTACTCTTCATCACCCACCAGCCATCCTCCTCCTCTTCACCATCCTCTGTGAAACGCTCCACTGTGTTTTTAAACTCCACACACCTTCACAAGAATCATCTGGATCATTTCAGCGCTGGAATTGACGATTTCTACTGAACTAAAACAAAACAAAACCACATCCTGATGACATCACAAGGTGGAACAGAGCATTTTGAGCATTTTGAGATGCAAACAGACTCATAATAAAGAATTAGTCAACAAATAAACACACAAAACACAACTCCAGGTTTGTTTTTGAGGCAATAACAACATCAGAACACGACTTAAAGCTCTGTTTTGTATCATATATCTAAGACTTTTAAGAAAATGTGAACATCTTTTTCATATTTATAAATAGAATTCTTTCTAGATTTTTTCTCCAGTTTATGTTTGGACGAGTCAGAAGAAGCAAAAAGTGCAGCCAAACTTTCTGAATAACGATCGTCTCGACACCTTAAATATAAACCTACAGCGCAGGTCAGTTTCACTGCACATTTTCACTCACAATCTCAACTTTGAGCCGCTAAAAAGAGACGATCGAGAGGCAAACGAAGCCGCAGCTCTGGTCTGTAAGCTGCTCTTCATCACCCACCAGCCATCCTCCTCCTCTTCACCATCCTCCGTGAAGAGAAATAAAAGAGGCGAAGAAGAGCTGCACGCTTTGTAAATACACCGCGCACACAGAAGCAGAAAGACGCGGAGATCCGAGGCGAACTCCGCCGTCAAACACCAAAACTACGCGGGCGCAGAAGCGGCACAAACGCGGCCGAATCTTACCCCCGACCCGGTACATGTTGGCTGCCATGACTGCCCCGGCGGCCCGGCTCTTTCCGCAGGTACAGGCTGCTGCTCCGGGCTCTGCTGTGGGTTAGCGCCGCACTGCCGCCCGCCGCTCCGCGCTGGAAAATGGAGGATTGATCAATACGAAACGAGACGAGAGCCGAGGCCTTAAAGAGACAGAACACGGAGAGTGTGCGGCCGCTCGGGCTTTTGGCGCCGGATTCGAGTCCCAAAAGTGAACAGCCCAGCGCAAAAATCCACTTTATTTAGAGTTTTTTTTTTTTTTTTTTTTTTTTTTTTTGCTCCGCGGCGCTGCTCGTGCGGCGTTAGCTAAAGCAGCGCCATGTTTAGAACGTGTGACGTCACCGCGCGGACGAATTAGAGTTTAACAAATTTAAATTTTACTTAATTTACATTTTAATTAATTTGAATAACATTAAAGTAAAGATCTAGAACTGAAGTTAGACAATGAAACACACGTAAATTACACATAAAACCTGGGAAATAACAGATAATACTCCCTACAACTTATGTAACAGATAATACTCCCTACAACTTATGTAACAGATAATACTCCCTACAACTTATGTCACAGATAATACTCCCTACAACTTTAGAACAACTCACACTTATGTCACAGATAATACTCCCTACAACTTTAGAACAACTCACCCTTATGTCACAGATAATACTCCCTACAACTTATGTAACAGATAATACTCCCTACAACTTATGTGACAGATAATACTCCCTACAACTTATGTCACAGATAATACTCCCTACAACTGTAGAACAACTCACCCTTATGTCACAGATAATACTCCCTACAACTGTACAACAACTCACCCTTATGTCACAGATAATACTCCCTACAACTGTACAACAACTCACCCTTATGTCACAGATAATACTCCCTACAACTTATGTCACAGATAATACTCCCTACAACTGTACGACAACTCACCCTTATGTCACAGATAATACTCCCTACAACTTATGTCACAGATAATACTCCCTACAACTTATGTCACAGATAATACTCCCTACAACAGCTCTCCTGTGTGTGTGATATGAAATGTATTTTTATACATTTAGATTTTTAAATTTCCCTCTCACTTTATTATTTTTTTATTATGAACAATGTTTTATTTTGAAAAATGATCAGATTGTCTCAGTTCCGTTCGTCTGTGATTCTCTCGTCTCATTCATGAGCTGCAAAATGAATAAAAAACAAACGTCTTTGGAAACGTTTATTATTATATTTACAAAATACTCCAGTTTTTGTGTTGGTGACATTTTATTTTGTCGTATTTATCCTCCGCACCTTAAACGCTGCTCCCTGAAAATAGGACTGAACCAGACCTGAACCAGACCTGAACCAGGCCTTAAAGAGACAGAACACGGAGAGTGTGCGGCCGCTCGGGCTTTTGCCGCCGGATTCGAGTCCCAAAAGTGAACAGCCCAGCGCAAATATCCACTTTATTTAGAGTTTTTTTTTTTTTTTTTTTTTTTTTTTTGCTCCGCGGCGCTGCTCGTGCGGCGTTAGCTAAAGCAGCGCCATGTTTAGAACGTGTGACGTCACCGCGCGGACGAATTAGAGTTTAACAAATTTAAATTTGACTTAATTTACATTTTAATTAATTTGAATAATATTAAAGTAAAGATCTAGAACTGAAGTTAGACAATGAAACACACGTAAATTACACATAAAACCTGGGAAATAACAGATAATACTCCCTACAACTTATGTGACAGATAATACTCCTTACAACTTATGTAACAGATAATACTCCCTACAACTGTAGAACAACTCACCCTTATGTCACAGATAATACTCCCTACAACTTATGTGACAGATAATACTCCCTACAACTTATGTGACAGATAATACTCCCTACAACTTATGTGACAGATAATACTCCCTACAACTGTACGAACAACTCACCCTTATGTCACAGATAATACTCCCTACAACTGTACAACAACTCACACTTATGTCACAGATAATACTCCCTACAACTTATGTCACAGATAATACTCCTACAACTTACACACTCCCTACAATTATGTCAACAGATAATACTCCCTACAACTGTACAACAACTCACACTTATGTCACAGATAATACTCCCTACAACTGTACAACAACTCACCCTTATGTCACAGATAATACTCCCTACAACTGTACGACAACTCACACTTATATCACAGATAATACTCCCTACAACTTATGTCACAGATAATACTCCCTACAACTGTAGAACAACTCACCCTTATGTCACAGATAATACTCCCTACAACTGTACGACAACTCACCCTTATGTCACAGATAATACTCCCTACAACTTTAGAACAACTCACCCTTATGTATCAGATAATACTCCCTACAACTTATGTCACAGATAATACTCCCTACAACAGCTCTCCTGTGTGTGTGATATGAAATGTATTTTTATACATTTAGATTTTTAAATTTCCCTCTCACTTTATTATTTTTTATTATGAACAATGTTTTATTTTGAAAAATGATCAGATTGTCTCTGTTCCGTTCGTCTGTGATTCTCTCGTCTCATTCATGAGCTGCAAAATGAATAAAAAACAAACGTCTTTGGAAACGTTTATTATTATATTTACAAAATACTTATTATTATATTATATTTACAAAAAGTTTTGTGTTGGTGGTGACGTTTTATTTTGTCGTATTTATCCTCCGCACCTTAAACGCTGCTCCCTGAAAATAGACCTGAACCAGACCTGAACCAGACCTGAACCAGGCCTTAAAGAGACAGAACACAGAGAGTGTGCGGCCGCTCGGGCTTTTGCCGCCGGATTCGAGTCCCAAAAGTGAACAGCCCAGCGCAAATATCCACTTTATTTAGAGTTGTTTTTTTTTTTTTTTTTTTGCTCCGCGGCGCTGCTCGTGCGGCGTTAGCTAAAGCAGCGCCATGTTTAGAACGTGTGACGTCACCGCGCGCGGACGAATTAGAGTTTAACAAATTTAAATTTTTATTAATTTGAATAACATTAAAGTAAAGATCTAGAACTGAAGTTAGACAATGAAACACACTTAAATTAGACATAAAAACTGGGACATAACAGATAATACTCCCTACAACTTATGTCACAGATAATACTCCCTACAACTGTACGACAACTCACCCTTATGTCACAGATAATACTCCCTACAACTTATGTCACAGATAATACTCCCCTACAACTTATGTAACAGATAATACTCCCTACAACTTATGTGACAGATAATACTCCCTACAACTGTAGAACAACTCGCCCTTATGTCACAGATAATACTCCCTACAACTTATGTGACAGTTAATACTCCCTACAACTGTATAACTTGCCCATATGTATCAGATAATACTCCCTACAACTTATGTCACAGATAATACTCCCTACAACAGCTCTCCTGTGTGTGTGATATATTCATTTAGATTTTTAAATTTCCCTCTCATTTTATTTTCCGAGTCTGAACGATGTTTTATTTTGAAAAGTGATCAGTTTGTCTCGTCACGTCTGTGATTCACTCTTTGTCTCTGTCACGTGGGACATAAACTCTGATGTTAAACCCACAAACTGCAAAATGAACAAAAAACAAACGACTTTATTATTATATTTACAAAATTCTAACAGTTTTTGTGTTGGTCGTGTAATTTTATTTTGTCGTATTTTTCCTCCGCACCTTAAACGTCGCTCCAGGAAAATATGGTCTGACATGAAACTGGTGCACGGAGCAGAAACGTTTGTTGTTTTACAGTTTGTATTGGAGACGCCTCTCCACAGATCTGACCTGGTCTGAGGGTGTTTTGTCTCTGATGGACGAGGAAATGTTTTATGTCAAACTGTGGATTGAACCAGGTCTAAACCAGGACTAAAACAGGACTAAACCAGGTCTAAACCAGGACTAAAACAGGACTAAACCAGGACTAAACCAGGACTAAACCAGGTCTAAAACAGGACTAAACCAGGACTGAACCAGGACTAAACCAGGACTAAACAGGACTAAACCAGGACTGAACCAGGACTAAACCAGGTCTAGACCAGGACTGAACCAGGACTAAACCAGGTCTAGACCAGGACTAAACCAGGTCTAAACCAGGTCTAAAACCAGGTCTAAAACAGGACTAAACCAGGACTAAACCAGGTCTAACCAGGACTAAACCAGGTCTAAACCAGGTCTAAACCAGGACTGTAAATCAGGACTAAACCAGGTCTAAACCAGGGATAAACTAGGACTGAACCAGGACTAAACCAGGACTGAACCAGGACTAAACCAGGACTGAACCAGGACTAAACCAGGTCTAAACCAGGACTAAACCAGGACTAAACCAGGACTGAACCAGGACTAAACCAGGACTGAACCAGGACTAAACCAGGTCTAAACCAGGACTAAACCAGGACTGAACCAGGACTAAACCAGGACTGAACCAGGACTAAACCAGGACTAAACCAGGTCTAAACCAGGTCTAAACCAGGACTAAACCAGGACTGAACCAGGACTAAACCAGACTAAACCAGAAACTAAACCAGGTCTAAACCAGGACTAAACCAGGACTAAACCAGGACTAAACCAGGTCTAAACCAGGTCTAAACCAGGACTAAACCAGGACTAAACCAGGACTAAACCAGGACTAAACCAGGACTGAAACCAGGACTAAACCAGGTCTAAACCAGGACTAAACCAGGACTAAACCAGGACTAAACCAGGACTAAACCAGGACTAAACCAGGACTAAACCAGGTCTAAACCAGGACTAAACCAGGACTAAACCAGGACTAAACCAGACTAAACCAGAACTAAACCAGGTCTAAACCAGGACTAAACCAGACTAAACCAGGACTAAACCAGGTCTAAACCAGGACTAAACCAGGACTAAACAGGACTAAACCAGGACTAAACCAGGTACTAAACCAGGACTAAACCAGGACTAAACCAGGACTAAACCAGGACTAAACCAGGACTAAACCAGGTCTAAACCAGGACTAAACCAGGACTAAACCAGGTCTAAACCAGGACTAAACCAGGTCTAAACCTGTTTAATGTTCCACAGTCTGGCATTAAACCTATTTATCTCCATGGAGACCAAACCAGACGACCAAGAAGTTCAGGTCAGATCTGTGGAGAGGCGACTCCGCTCACAGTCACAACGTCTGTTTTTTGTTTTTGTTCAGTTTTCAGTTTAAAAATTTGCATTTGACCCATTTTTATGTGAAAATGGGTCAAATCAAAACAAAATGTTCAAATATTTCAAATTAACGAACAATTAAAACGGCAACAAACTACAGAATGTCCGTCTGATAGAAAAGTACAGTTTTACTTTCACTTTCA